CTGAGTTTGATATAAATTTGTCAAAATTTAAAATAACTACAAATTAAACAAAATTTCCGAACAAACTTAGATTTTGACCTAAAATGTCGGACTTATAAAAACCAATAAAATCAACATATACAGTACCTAGTTACTAAATTGATAAAAAACTATGTAACTAGATACCTTATATGTCAAACATTATTTCTATGACAAAACCAATTTTTTTCAGTGATTCCCAAAAACAAGATGGCCGGCTATCACACTTACCCCGCTGTCACACTTACCCCACTCCACCCTATATTTAAATAAACTCTCATCTTCTTACCGATTAAATAAACGTATCAATGGTTATAGCATTACACATAGTATAAATAAGTAAATTCTACGTATGTCATTTCATTTTCATCCAAAAGCTGAATTTGTGTCGAAAAACAGGGAAGGTTAACAGCTATTATTATACCAAAAGCTAGAGTAGAATGTTAGCGTCGGCTGTTAACTTAAAAAAAGCTAATATTCATAGGGCAAATGTTTTTTTTTTTCAATTATCTTTACCGCATAGCAGTTAATACTGTAGATTTTTTAAAATTTAAAACTTAAGATTTTGGAGCACACAGACAGATGTCAGCTGGTGTGGCAGTTAACTTTTAAGAGACTTTTTGGCAAACCACTTGCTTCTGACTGCTTTGACTATCTTGCCTTTCAACAAGTCCCAGGTGGAGCTGGAGTCTATGGTCTTGTTACAAAAGACAAGTTTAATGCCAAACCTAAATATCCAGATTATGATTCAGCTTTCGAAGATTTAACTGAAGACTTAAAGAGATTTTATAAATTAATCTGCTCGTCCATGGGGTGTGTGCGGGATGGAATACCAGTGGAACATTTTGCAGCCAATATTGTGAAATTTCATAGGCTCACTGGAGCCCAGGTAGAAATAATATCTTACAAACAATGCTGGGCCTTCAGAGTGCCATGGAATGGACTTTCTTACGAGGAGTTTAGTGCCAGTTTGAAACATAACATTCTAACTAAATATTTACAAGCTGAACCTTCCCCTGACGCCTTTCGTGCAAACCAGCCTGAGACCTGTTCTCCTTTAGCCTAACTGTGGCATCTCTACATCTGGAGACAATACCAGTACCACGGATGACTTCCACCCTGACCAACCTCGGACCTGCCCGAGGGGCCACCTCAGGGTTGCATTTTTGAAGTAGTTATTTGAAGTGTTTTTTCTGGATTTTAATTTTACAAAAACAGTCTGCAGGCGACTTTAACTAACAACTCAATACATTACAACCTAAACTTTACCTTCCTAATCTAACCTACCTTCAAAGGACTTGATGCAGTCACCAATTCATATAAAGCACGATCTACCACCCTGACATACCTTTTCTGACGTTAAAAGGAGTTTGCTTACATTCTAGAGGTTTGGTTAGGTTAGGTTAAATATTAACTTACTAGCTGTTGGCTTACTTAACCCATAGTTAAATCCACTTGTAAATGTCATCCATCCTACCGTGTTTATTGTAATGTTGTATATTATTATGGAGAAATATTGAAAAATATCCATCAGCTGTGAAAAATAATGGTATATTTGGATTCAGGGAAATTGTTTAGATGAGGGTGACCAAGCGTTCTATAGTAAGTTATATATCATTGGAAACTAGATTTTTACCTGAAAATAATGGTGCAAAAATTTTTCTGCTTCCACAAAAACTGAATTTTCTACGATTTTTTTAAGTTTATTACTGTAATGCCTCTTGTCGGCTCGTCACTGTCGCCATAACTTTGCTGTGAATTGACTGACCAACACAAACATGAACATGAACGAACGGAGTGACTGAAATTGAAAGGATCGTCTAGGGAAGAAGAAGAAACCTAATATGACAAAGAGTAAGTTTATGCAAAGAGGACAAAGAGGTAGAGGCATTTATAAATTCAACTGAGTGTTGATTATGAACTACTTCAGTTCTTATTTAGACATGTGAGGTTGGTAGGTTGGGTGTTAAAAATGCGGACTCGTGACTGTATTAAGTGTTTTGAAGTTAGGTTAGATTAGGAAGGTAAAGTTTAGGTTATAATGAATCGAGTTGTTGATTTATATTATCTCCAGACTGTTTATACACTTTGTAAAAAGTACTACATAAATAATAATAATTTCAAAAATGCTGCGCATTATTTATTGTGTTTGTAGTACTTTTTACAAAGTGCATAAACAGTCTGGAGATAATATAAATCAACAACTCGATTCATTATAACCTAAACTTTAACTTCCCTAATCTAACCTACCTTCAAAGGACTTAATACAGTCACGAGTCCACATAACATCCAACCTACCAACCTCACATGTCTTTTTCAACTTATTAACTAATTTTAAACTGTCCGAGAAGTTTGGTTGGGTTAGGTTAGGTTAGAATAGTGCCAATATGTTGGTTATACATTTTATATAATAAGTCTCATTACGGTAGTTTTTAAGGCTAATCAAATAGGTTAGCACTAAATAAATAAGAACTAATTAGCACTCATTGATTATAATCCAGTTGTATATTTAAAAGGGTTTGGATGCATGGTAATATTTATATTCCAAACTACTTTGAAAAGAGGCCCTTTTCCATAATGAATTACAAACTAATACCTATTATTAGTAAATCAGCTGATTGCTAAATTCAAATCTAATGTAAATAAAACATTTCAAGTTACAGCTTGTAACATTCAGTTTATTATGAAACAGCGTTTAGAATAAATGATACTCCGCGGGTGATGAAAATTAACCATTGTTTAGCATTAATCTGACCTATTAAATCATTCCGCATTATTTCACCAGTTTTTGAGATATAGGTAGGAAGTGTGAAGGATTATGGATTAATTTCTTAAATTTAATTTTTATATATTTATGTGAAGTTTAGATGGCAGGTGGTTGTTTAGGTTGTGAAATGAGCTATGTTGAATCAATAAGGAAAGACGAATTTAATATTTTACAATTTTACGTTGATCACGGGGTTTACAGCCGTACCAGACGTTGCGGCAATCCTTTGTGCGGTAATGAGTTGGTGGTGAACGATTTGGAAGGGGATTTTAAATTTAGGTGTGGGAAAAGATACGCTCCAAGATTAAACGCAAAGAAAGTTAAGTGTAGATTTATTGCGAGTGCTAGAAAAGGAACCTTTTTTGAAAGGGCCAAACTTTCGTTGCCTGACATTTTTTATATTGTAGCAACCATATTATGTGTTCCACCGCCACGACAGACATTTCTGAGGCATAATTTTGGGTTGTCTTCAAGTAGCATAGTTGATTGGTACAGTTTTTGCAGGGAAGTGTTTGTAGATCACGTGGCCAACGGTGATATTAGATTAGGCGGTGTTGGTCACATGGTTGAGATTGACGAAGCAAAGTTCGGTAAGCGGAAATATAACAGAGGACGATTGGTAGAGGGGCAATGGGTGTTTGGGGGGATTGATAGAACGACAAAGGAAACCTTTTTAGTGCCAGTGGACAAACGAGACAGGGACACGTTATTAGCTATTATTAAAAGGCATATCTTGCCAGGAACCAAAATAATTAGCGATTGTTGGCGTGCGTATGACTGTTTGGAAAACGAGGGGTTTTTACACGAAACCGTTAACCATTCCATAGAGTTTGTGAACCCACATACGCACGCCCACACTAACACAATAGAAAGAACCTGGCGAGGTGTAAAGGACAAAATACCCCGTTACGGACGTAAACGCACTCATTTTGTGGGGTATTTGGGCGAATATCTGTTCAAAACCAAATATCCAAATTTAAATCAGAGGATCCACCACTTTTGGGTTGCGGCAGCGAGTCTCTACCCCCCTGAGCTCTAAGGTAACTAACTTAATTATTACATTAGGCTTTACCTAATTCAACAAGATTTGGTAAGAGATGACTTACTAAATACTACATTTCCTATTCTGTAGTAACGTTAATGGCTTCAATTATCACACGATTGGTGTTGGCCACACAAATTAGAGCTAGACTGGTTGTAGACATAGCTCTCAGTGATAGGAATGTTTTGAATGATATATCATAAGTATTAATCAATTTACCTGATTAATAGCACGGTCAGTATTTTGCCCTAGTTTGAATATTTCAACAAGCTGGTGAAAATTAAATTTTAGGCTAAGTTGAATTAAAAAACATCAACACACTCTGGTGTGGCCAAAATCAATCACTCTGAAAGTTGTCTTCAGCTGATTCATGACACATGTAGGCCTAGAGTGGAAATCTACTTTTAAGTTTAGTAGTTTTGTTAATGGTTTGGTCATAGATTAAACATATTGGCTAGTGTAGGGTTGGTTAATTCTGCCACTACACTATTATCATAATGGAACATAACGGCTACATGGTCAAAACCGTAGCTTAGCCACTCGGTGAAGCGAAGAGAACAAAAATTTATTTCTTGATGCCTTCTTCATTTTTCATGATCATAATTCATAATCCAGCCCAGTCCATTTCCATTAGTCCGGATCCAGATTAAATATGTCCGCCCGTGAGGGGTTTATTTTAAATCTTAATTAAATTTAAATGAATATAACATAATAGCCTGCTTAAATTAACGTATTTACCTTTCTAAGTGTGGTTTGTGAGGGTAATATTTAATTTCAAATGGAATATAATTAATCAATAAGTGACTTGGGTTATTATCTTTGATTTTACAGTGTAAACGAAGTGCAGATTCAACGTAGGCCTACTGTACCTAAGAAAACATTAAAAAAAACTTCAAAAAATCGTAATAAATTCAGTTTTTGTGGCAGCAGAAACATTTTTGCACCATTATTTTCAGGTAAAAATCTAGTTTCTAATGATATATAACTTACTATAGAACGCTTGGTCACCCTCATCTAAACAATTACCGGATTCAGGAGGTAAAAACCTATAAAGTAAGATATCAAAATTAAAAATTCGTTTGGAGGCACCTATACGGAATAATTACCCATTGATAGGCGTAGTAGGCTATATTTTTACAGACAGTCCTAGGCAAGGCCTAAAAACACTCTTACCTCAATCTCTCCTCAGAATTCATGGGAGATGCTGTTTCAGTAATTTCAGGCAAAATTGACACCTCCTTATCCTCAGATCTGACAACAAATTTCATAAGGTCCATGAAACCAGTACAACAAACCTTATGAAATGCAAAGAAACGGTACTGTCCATAACCAACATTCGAAATGAGATTGATTTAAGTTTTTTGTTTACAAATACAAAATAATTTAAGTTAATTTCAGAAAACCGAGATTCGAGAAGCCCAAACTAGAAAATACGTTTAGTTTAGACAGAGAAGTAAAAGAAGAAAAGTTCTTTTTCTTTCAGTACAAAAACAAGTTAAGTGAACAAACGAGGCACTGAAGGCAGTTAACGGACCTTCATCTTGGAGAGTGACGTCAGAGCAGAGCTTGTTTACAGAAACACAGGGGGAAGTGGAGTTGACCTAGGAGGCACAAATTGTAAAACAAATTACTGTATTGTAATATTTATTTAAACAAACTCAGAATCAAATTATTCATGTGTCAGGATGGATATCCCGGGATATCCCAGTACAACACATCTTTTGTGTAAAAAATAGTGTGTTGTTTGTCTTTGTTTGCTCTTGTTGATGTTATTTTCAACAAATAAATATTTATAAAGATTTTCAAAATAATCAGTAAATTAAGGGCTTTAATTTGAGCTATTGATCACTTGATTTAGTTATCTTCAAGAATCTGTATTACTCAATTAAAAAAAATTAATTTAATTATTTCTCGTATATGATATTTATTTCAACGCTCGCTGCGGATTAGCATGGGTCCTTTAGTTAGTATATGAATCCTGTGGGGTTTTAAAAACACAACCACGTGTCTTAGAGCCTTATTATGCGCGGCCACTCGAGTGGCGCGCGACCGCGACTGCTCAAAGGCCACATTTAGCGGGCCATGTTATTATATGGCGCTTATTAAGCGACGCGACTGCGGTGGCGAGGCACGCGACAGTCGCCGCGACTGGCCACTCCAGTCGCGCACCCTCGCTACTAGTCGCGAGCCCACGCGACTGTCGCACCACCAGCGGGCCATGTTATCATATGCTGTTTATTACGCGCGGCCACAGTCGCGGGCCACAGCGGACCCTACTCTCTGCCCTCGCCTCAGTACTGATTTTTGTTTCATCATTTTATTTAATTATATTACCTATATATCAATAAATATTGGTTTTCTTTTCCGAGTCGGTTCGGCTCTTCTACCTGACCGATGTTCATAATTTTGGTCTTAATTTCACGAACAGATTCGCCACCAAGCATCATCATTCATATATCTACTGTATCATTCGACAAAAAAATAAATCAGATTTTTTTATCAAATTCTTACTTCAATTAAAGCCGTATCTCGCCAGTTCTGACTACATTATCCTATATGTTTTGGTCTAAGAACATTCAGTGAAATGTCAGCTTTAATTTTGACCTATTAATTATTAATATCGGACGTATACGCTACTGAATCACGAATCAACAATAATAATAATTATTTTAACACTTACCTACAATTGCACTTACGTAACTCCAATTTTAGTTATTCTACATGTCTTAGTCTTAAAATATGTTTTAAGTTAAGTTATCTGCTGTAGCCCCCTGGTGAAAGTGTTTTTCCTTTTTAATTATGTATTGGTATGTAGAGTAGTATAAAGTATTGTAAATTGATTATAAGTTGAATGGACATCAACGATTCTGTATTAAATGGACTGATACAACTCGTTCCGCACGCACAGGCTTTGCCTATGTGGGGACCATCCTTTATATGTATATTATAATTTTTGTAACATATTTTTTGTCTGGAATAAATGATTTATATTTTTTTTATATTTTGATAGGCCTACCCTTCAAAACAAAGGCTTTCATTCGAGATGTTAACCATTTGAATCAGTTAAGTTCAAGATACTGGCTGTATTATTACTCAATTATTACCATTATTGTGAATACAATGTTGACCCGGGCAACACCGAGTTTTGCTGCTAATACAGTATTAATATTATGATTAAATCAAATCAAAACCATTATAATATTTAATTTAAGGTAAGTGCTAGCCTCTCCTTAGCTGAAATAAAATTATTCATTTTCCTATGCGATACGGATAAGTCGCCTTATATTCTTCCTAAAAGGTTATAAAAAGAACGTTTCGTCTCCTGGAAACAACCAAAATACATCTTGTCGTAATCTCTGAAATCATCATATAAAAACTGAAAACCGGAATTTTAGTAACGGATTGCCTCCCAATACTTTTTTCGTCTACGTTTACGACGCTTAAGCAAAAGTAAAATAAATAGTTCAGCTTCTTTACTTATTTACTCTGAGAAACTACATGTATGTCTGTAAAAAATTCTGTCAGACGCGTGACCTCGACACACCTGTCGCTACCCCAAGCCACACCAGTCGCTACCCCAAGCGTCTGGCAGTCGGTGCCGTGTTTCCCCCGGACGTGCTTGAGGCGGACAGTGCGTGAGGCGGACAAAACTGGTTCGGGTGGGTAATTGAGCGGACGTCTCCCTGCATCTACCCGGCTCGCGGGGAATATCCCCGTTACCGAATCGTCCGAGGAATTATCGCGTTTTGCCTCCCAGTGCCCAGTTCTTTCAACCACACCTAAACTACCTACTCTGATTTTGTAGGTTAATAGCTAAGAGACTATGTTTTATCTATAATTTCTAATAACCCAATTGCAGTACCTAACACGCAGGCCTAGTCATCTCTGGTTACTCCCCGTGGACGTCCAAATTTTTAATGTTAACATTTTAGAAGGGTTAGACAAATCTTTAAACTCTAAAATGTTGTGGAATCTTCAATTTAAATTTAAAACGTGAATAGGTCTATGTGTTAATTTAGGATTTGTTGATTTATATGTTCAGGATTTGGCGTTACCGCACTCATCTAAAATGTCGACACGTTTAACACGTGCCGCGGTCATTGCCACGGACCGAAGTATACATTTGAATCTTACACATAGACCGGCTGTCACTTGGATAACAGTACACACAGACCACGGGCAAAACCCTGTAAAACAGTGATCATTTACATTGTAATACGCTACAATTGTGTTTGTGAATAATTTATTCTTGGCTGTTTCTTTGTTTGTACTTTTTAGCGAATTTCCCATATAGGGAATAAGCTATTACCGTAGTACTCATGGTAAGACCTGGACGCGGGACCGATTTTTTTCATTTTAAAGCCCCTAGAGGCCAAAAACACCATCCGTTCAAATTCATATATATATATTAATAAATGAAATAAATAATTAAACATTTAGTACCCTTTTTTTAAAGTTATTAATTTATTGAATAAACTTACATGTTTCGGCTCTTAGGCCATATATATATATGTGTGTCCGTTAGCACGATAACTCGAGCAAAAATGATCCGATTTTGATAAAATTTGGTACAAACGTGTAAACCTACGTTTATTCGAACGAGTTCGCGATCCAGCATGATCGGAAAATGGGAACGGGGGTTTACGGGGGGTTTTATGGGGTAAAAATAGGTTTTTCCCATTTTTGACCCAAAAAACATAAAATTTAGCAATTTCTTTCCAAACCATTTTGTAGAGCTTAAAAAAACAAATAATTTAGTATATTGAAGCGTTATTATGCGCCTAATGGCTACAAAGAAAATTCCAAAAAATTGTAAATTTAAAATTCCCATGTTATTCTTATGGAGAATAAGTAAATTGTTGTAGTTTGCTTGTTTATGAACATATTTTGATCAAATTTGGAAAATATTTTTATTTCTTACTAACTATTAACGTTTTACAAAAAAAAAACAGTTTTACCCTCCCTGATGCAGCAAACCTAAGTACTAGTTAAACTAATTCTATTTAAATAGAGAATAAATGTTATATTTTTAAGTAGACATTTCAGTGTAAATCCAATCAGTCAATTGGAAATTCGCTTAGTCTGCAGGTTTGCTGCGGCGGGGGTATTATAACCTTACACCTAATCCTTTTTATACAGAAATTGAGATAGCACGCGTTATGGCTTTCCTATCGTAATACTCGTTCCATACGATGAAACTAACCGAAACATTTACGATTCTAAGCAGTGTACAGACAAAACTCTAATTTTAGCGAATTTCCCATATAGGGACTAAGCAAAAATTCACCCTAGGTCTCATGGTAAGACACATGTAACATGGTAAGACTAGACCCGGAACCGATTTACGTTATCGTTTTGAGGATAACTAGAGCAAAAATGATCCGATTTTGATGACATTTTGGCACAAACGTGTAAACCTACGTTTATTCGAACGAGTTTGCTAACCAGTTTTATGGGGCGAAAATTGATTTTTCCTATTTTTGACCCCAAAACACAATTTTTTTTTAATTTCTCTCCAAACCATATTGTAGTGCTGAAAAAATAAATAATTTTGTACTCGTATATTGAAGAGTTGTTGTATGCCCAACGGTTTGGAGATAATTTTAAAAATTGTAAATTTGACATTCCCATGTTATTCTTATGGAGGATAAATAAACTGTTGTAGTTTGGTTGTTTATGGACATATTTTAATCAAATTTGGCAATTTTGTTTATTTCATACTAAGATATCAACATAGTTATCAACATTTCAATAAAAATCACACCTCATATCTTGCCCATAGCAGCAAACCTAAGTACTCACTAAAATTAATGGTATTTAGAAATTGAAAATAAATCTGACAATTTTGTGGGAATATTTTAGTAAAAATCGAACGAACCGGGTAAATGGAAATTCGCTTAGACTGCAGGCTTGCTGCGGCGGGGGTATTATTTACATAGATTTTTTGTTCTTGTGTCACTGAATTGTATTCACAGCATTTGTCAGCAACATCAATTTATGTGTTTTCAAAATATACTGAACTAATAAGTAAACAATTGAAACATAATTCAAAGATTTGAATATAGTCGAGTAAATCCGTAAGACAACCCTAAAAAAATTGCTTTAAATTGTTTAATTGGTTATTTTGACTAAGAATTGTGTGGTTTTACTAGGGAAACGGTATAAAGAAATCGGAGTCTCGGAAGTCCAAAATTAAAGATGGCGTACACGATTTTGGCAAATACTTGTATACTATTCATTCAAAAATTTGTTTTTTATTTATGAGTATTTTTGCTTGAAACAATCATTGTTGGGGAGAGTGTATCTAATTCATTTGTTGTGTGTCTTTATATTTATGTTTTTAGAAGATAGTTACGTTTCTAAATTTCAAATATTGTCAAACATCTAGAGTTGTTTACGATCGCATAAACCACTCATTCGTTCTGCTAGGGCAAGTCGGCTTCTTAACAAAGCAGTTGAGACCGTCCTTCTGCGTAAAGAA